TATGTATGCTCAGTTTGCTCTTATGTGCTTCATCTAAAATCAACTTCTTAATTTCTATATCATTAGACACATATCCTACCATTAAATCTCAAAATTTTTATCCTATCTTTGTCAAAAAAATTTCCATTCTTTTATCCTATCAATTTCTTTTTCTTCTGAATGAATTCATCATTTACGTGAGCCTCATGGATTTGCCTTTGTAATCACTAGTAATCTGAATTGAGTTAAATTTCATTCTATCAGGGTTCATGGTAATTGACAAATTCACATCTCTGAATTTTTCTAGCAGACTCATCTCATGAATCATCATGGAAGAGACATGTAAATATTTTATGTTTAAAGCGTCTGTCACTATATTGGGCTTTCCTAAATGGTAGTGTAATTCAAAATCATAATCTTTTAAAAATTTCATCAATCTTCTTTGTCATATTTAACTCTTTTTTATCAAACAAGTGTTTAAGACTTTTATGGTCACTAAAAACCTCAAACTTACCACCATACACATAATGTCTTCATATTTTGAGTGCTAAAACAATGATGACTAGTTCTAGATCATGAATTGGATAATTTTTCTCATGTATTCTTAATTGTCTAGAAGCATACCCTTCTATCTTGTATAAGAACACATCCTAACTCCATTTTGAAAGCATCACAAAATATCACAAAGTGTCCAATAGGGTTAGGTAATGCCAGTATAGGGGAAGTAGTTAATCTTTTCTTAAGCTCTTGAAAACTATTTTCGTATTTTTCTGTCCATTCAAAAGCTTTACCTTTTTTGGTGAGTTGGGTTAAAGACATAATTATTTTAGAAAAATCTTCAATGAATCTCCTATAATACCTGGCCAAACCCAAAAAATTATGAATCTCAGTCACTGTTTTTGGTGGATCCCATTGTAGAATTGTTTCCATCGTAGTTGGATCTACAGACACTCTTTCTTTGGAATCACATAACCTAAAAAATTTACTTCTTCTAACCAAAATTTACACTTACACAATTTGGCATATAATTGTTTGTCTTTCAAAATCTAAAGAATATTTTGAAGGTGTTCCTCATGGTTTTCAAAAGTTTTATAACAAATAAGAATGTCATCTATAAAAATTATAACAAAATGATCTAAAAATGGACGAAAAATCTTATTCATATGATCCATGAATATTGTAGGAGCATTGGTCACACCAAAAGACATCACTTGGTATCCATAATGATCATACCTAGTTCTAAATGTAGTTTTTTGTACATATTATGCCTTTACTCTAATTTGGTGATATCTTGATCTTAAATCTATTTTAGAAAATACAGAAAGTCCTCTTAATTAATCTAACAAATCATTTATTCTTGAAAGGGGATATTTATTCTTTATGGTGAATTTATTTAACTGACGATAATCTACATATAACCTAAAACTTCCATCTTTCTTCTTAACTAACAAAACAAGGGCTCCCTAAGGTGATACACTAGGACGAATATTTCTTCAATTCTGTTAGTTCAGAGGGTGATATTCTATATAGTGCCATAAAAATTGGTCTAATTTCAGGCATCAAATCTATTAAAAATTCTATCTCTCTATTGAGTAGTAAACCATGAATATCATCAAGAAAAATTTTGAACAACTACTATATTTTTCAAACCGACTTCCTTTTTTATTTCCATAGAAAATAATAACAAATACCTTAAACTTTGTTCTTCAAAAACTCATTTACTGAGTTGGTAAAGAAATTCAAAAGATCCTTAGAATTTGAAAATATTATTGATTTTTCTGCATAATTCAGAAGGACTTGATTGGAAGATAACAAGTTCATACCTAAGATTACATCCAATTGAGATAGAGGTAGACAAATTAAATTTACAAGAAATTTTCTATTTTCAATGAACAAAGAACAATCTAGACAAATTTTATTGGCGATTACAAACTTACTCATGGGAGTTGAAACAATCAAACTAGTGTCTAGAAAAGAAGTTGACAATTCAAGGTGTTGGACACAATGATTGGAAATTAATAAATGAGTTGCATCTGAATCATACAATACATTTAAAGTTTTACTTTTAATGAAACATATACCTTGGATCAAATCATTATTTTGAGAGACTTCAGTTCTAGTCATGGTATATATTCTTCTTGTTGTCGGATGTCTTATTTTTGGTGTAGAAGGATTAAAATTTGATTTTTGTTGCCGACATTTAGAAAATATATGACCCAGTTTTCCACACTTGAAACAAATAGGTCCTTTAAGATAGTAATCTTTAGCATAATGATCTTGTATACACTTGAAACACTTTAGCTGATTATCTACAGGTTTATTAAAATTTTCTACAAAAAATTGACTAGGTTGGGATATCCATTAAGGGTGGTTATAGGGTTTCCCTTCATTTTATCTCCTTTTATTTTGCTTGGGTCCAAAATATTTAGGTTACTATTTTGTTGGTTTTCAAATCTTCCAAAAATCTACACTTATGAATAAGCATAGGAAAATTAGAAATTTCTAATATTTATACTATTTTTCTCAATTCAAGCCTAAGTCCATTATCAAATTTTATACACTTCATTCTCTCATCAAGTTGATAAAAGAATGCAAAATATTTCTCTAGCTCTTCAAACTTAGAGATATTTTCCTACTGTCATATCTCCTTGTTTTAATTGCATAAACTCTACTTCTTTTGCTCTCCCCACATAATTGGAAAAATATTTTTCTAAAAATTTTGTTCTAAACACCTCCCAAGTAATGATTATTCTTCTGTATTCTAATAATATCCTAGTACTATCTCACTAATATTCAGTCTTTCCTACTAACATAAACACAACATAATCCACCTTTTGGTTCTTAGAACAATTCATAACTTGAAATATTTTTTCTAATTCTTTAATCCACAATTCAGTCTTTTTCGACTTATAACCTCCGGAAAATTGTGGAGGTTTTTTTCTCCTAAATTTAACTAAACCTTGTGATTCTAATGTGACATTTTCTTTTACAAGGGTAGCAGGTAAAATAAAGATGTTTTTTATATATAAGAAATTTACATTATTATTTCTTTTACTTGATATATAAAAAAGAAGAAATTTTATTTATTTTTTATTCCTTCTATTCTTATTACAATTATATAAATATTTACATTATCAGTGGAAACAAATTGATTAAGGAGTTTTGGTGAATGGTAGGAGGCATACACAAGACGATCACTATTGATCCGTCTAACATGATGTGAGTTCCCATATCAAATACAAACGTTAATATTGATAACCTTGTCCCTTTAAAAGTAACTGGGTTGTCAATAATATTTGTGTTTCAAGTAGTTCCTAGAAAGAAAACAGTGATGCTTACAGAGATTTGAGATATTTGACGTCTTCATCTATTTAAGTTAATATTTAAATATAATATGCACAATATATCATAACAGGGAAATAAGACAATTATCATTTAAAATAATAACTTCTTCAACATATTCTATATTATAAAGATTTAAATTAAATTTGTAGTGACTAGTCAGGATAAATGAGTCCAATTTTAACCACGTTCTCAGCGATATCTACTCATTTCAATCCTCAAGGTTCAACCTTCATCTATAATATTATCAAATCTTTATAAATAGATATTATTATTTAAAAATAATTAAACAATATAAATATGAATTAATAAACAAGTACTAGTGTATAACTGTAGATAATTAAAATATGGTCAATATATGACTATATCTAAATAAGCATCAAGCATGATCAGTACATAACCAGAGATAATTAAAACAGGAACAATGTAGGACTGAAGATAAATAAATAAACATACAACAGGAGCAGTACGCAAATAGAGATAATTAAAATAGAACTAGTGCATGACTGAAAATAAATAAATAAACATAAGGCAGGACCAGTATGTGACTGGAGATAATTAAAATAAGACAAGTGCAGGATGAAAGATAAATAAATAAACATAAGGTATGAGCGACACGTATCTGGAGATAATTAAAATATGACCAGTGCAGAACTGAAGATAAATAAATAAACATAAAATAGATAAGTAAATAGTTAGAGATAAATAAATAAGTAACAAAATAAATAGAATGAAATTATGCACTCCACAATTATAATTAAAATAAAATAGATAAAATAATAATAGTCTTCTTCCTTACCTCAATCTTGTAGATAATAAACTAAAATTTGTCTCCATGTTTTTTTTTTTTTTTCCTATATGCTTCTCTTCTTTCCTTCTCTCTCTTTCTTACCTCTCTTTTCTTTTTCATCGCACCCACCCCTTTATATAGAAATATATATTTTTTTTCATCTCATTAATACTTCTCATCTCTTTCATTAATTTTTTTTTTTTCAATCAAGGCTTATCTCTCTCTTTTCTTTTTCACCGCACCTACCCTTTTATATAGTAATATTTTTTTTTCATCTCATTAATACTTCTCATCTCTTTCATTAAATTTTTTTTTTTTCAATCAAGGCTTATCTCTTCTTCTACGAATAGATAAACAATGTTATCTTTTTTTTCATATATATACATGTTAATAATAATATATAATATAATAATAATAATTATTATTAATTCATATTATATCTATATATTTTAATTGTAATAATATATAATAATAATAATAATAATTATTAATAATAATTTCATAATGTATTATAATAATAATAATAATTAATTTTATAATATATATTTTAATTGATAATAATTATTTTATTATTATTTATAATAATAATAATAAATATTATTATTATTATTATTATTATTATTTTAATTAATAATAACCACAATAAATAATAGTTTGTTTAATAGATATATTTTTATTTTAACAATAATAAATAATTGTAATAAATATCTATTTATAATAAATTAATAATATATATATTTTATAAAATGCTTATTTTATTATAAATATATTTAAATTATCTAATGATATAATTTAATATAATGTATTTGAAAATTTTTATATTATAAATTTTGAGGTGTTATAAAACGAAGTCTTGTTGATTGAGTTGTTAAAGACTTAGATGGTTGAATCAAAGATGACATCGATGGATCCTATGACCAGAGTGAGAATCGGAAGCAAGGGTGAGGGAGGAGGCATATGAAGGAAGAGTGAAGTAGAGGGCATGATGAAGGACGAGGGTGCGACTGAGTAAGACAGAATTTGAGACTGCAACGAGGGACGATAACTCGACAAGATGAGAGGTGGAGAAGGCCTATCAAGGTAGTGAAGAAATGAAGAAGAAGAACCATTTAAAAAAAAAAAAAAAGGAAGAAATGTTTCTTAAAAGAGAGGAGAAATATAATGTTAACAAATATTTTCTACCTCGGGTTACAATACAACCTGTAACTGTAATGAGAAGGCTCAAGTCAAAATAATTAAAGTTAATTAAGAATGACACGAAAAAAAAAAAAAAAAAAAAGGTCAAAACAACCAATTGGACCCACCATAAAAGCCCATTGGGTAAGGGTCCATAAAAATCCCTATAAGAAGCTTGATTTCTAAGGTATGTCACTATTCATTGATTCAAATATTTATTAGTGGATTGAGAATATTGTTACCCACAAACCATTGGAAGGACAGTTTTAATATAGAACCGAGAAATACAAAGTTGGGTGGTAGATAAATGGGTGGTTGGAGCATATATTCAACATTAAATCAGCAAAATCAATATAAAAAACTTGTTTCAAATTACAAATTTGTCACCACTTTTTTCTATATAAGTTCATTTATAATTAACGTTAAATGATATTTTTAAAAACCATTTTCTTGTAATAATTTCAAAGATTTTTTTATAAGTAATAAAAGATTATATATAAACAAACATTAATCTTTTGTTTTTAGAAAAATTTAAAAATAAACTAATTAATGAGATAATATTTAAGAACATATAGTAGGATTTTCATACAAATTTTCTTAAAAATAAATTATTTTAATATGAATTACTTAACACAAGTTTAAATTATTTATATAAATAATAATTATAATTTTAAGTAATTTTACATGTGATCTATATCAAAATATATTTTCTATTCAGAAAATTATTTCAAATAATTTCTACTGAAAGTATTTTAAATGATGATTTAAAATATGTATTAATATAATATTATTAAAACCTTAAACCAATGTTTGAAATAACGAAGAAATTTTTACTTTGATCTCATATAGAAACTCATAAGATACATGTGAAAAATAGGTGTCTTTCCTACACTAAGGTAATCCTAAGAATAATAACGATTTTAACTTATTATTATTATTATTATAAAAAATAAATCTATTATAATAATAATAATAATAATAATAATAATAATAATAATAAAGGTATTTATATATTTTTATATTTTATAATTGAAACACAAATATGATTCATATTGTTTTAGTAACATAAAAATAATAAAATAAAATTAATTCTTTTGATATTTTTATAGATCAAACGTAGAACAGTTACTTTTCTTTTTCTTGTCTACTTACATGTGTTTTTTTAAACAAATCAAACAAACATATAAAAAAACATTTTTTTTATCGAAACCGAGAAATATAGTCATTTAAAGATGATTATATTTTATTTTGTGATGGAAAAATTTATTTATAAAAATTTATAAAAATAAATAAACAAACTGTAAATAACTCAAACTTAAAAAGTTAAAATTAAATTATACATTTTAACTTTAGGACAAATATAACAAAACAACTTCTTAAAAAAAAACTAAGATCTATAAATTGATTAAATAAGTATATAACCATGCTTGTTTATTGTTTTTAAAAATAGTTTTAAATTTTTAAGGATTAAAAAGCTTTTTTAATAATTGATGCAAACAGTTTACAAAAATTAAAAAAACCAAAATTTATAAAAGATGTTTTCTAGTATAATTTTTTTATTTTTATTAATGGTATTGGCATTATATTTAATTATTACATTTTAGTATAAATTTATCAAATTCATTTTTCAATATTCGATTTTTTATAGTTATTTATGATTTCTTTTATAAAATAAATTTTCAAAATAGAATTATCAATTTTTTTAAAACTTATAGAAACTAAAAATTAAACTAAATCTAACAAGTCTTAAACCCTACTACACCTTTTTACATCACATCTAAGAGGTTTCTATATAAGTAAAGGATGATGGGAAAGAAACAACTTAAGCCTTATGATAAGAAAAAACAACTTGGATGAATAGAGGTAAATAATGGTTATGATTAGTGATGTGAGGTAAGAAAAAGTATAAAAGAACAAAGAATACCATATTTCATGGGAGGCAACATTGAAGTCTATTAGTCAGTTGCTGAGCATACTATGAATTGCAACATGTCTTAGATCCAAGTGCAAGTTTCAATGCACAAAAGTCTAGTCCCATATTTCATTGTCAGGGAAGATAAAGTCACTGAGATTAATAGTTGTCTTTCCATCAGGTTGAACTACATCATATGGTGAATCTTCTCCAAAATCACTTGTCATTGATCTCCAATAAAGACTAGGTTCCCACTCTGCTTCTTTAAGCACATTCAAGATCTCTGTTGTTACTATCTTGCTTCCCTCATTTGTCAAGTGAATTCCATCACTAAGAAATGACCAAACCACCTAATCAAAATTAATGGAATGTGCAAATTTGAACCTTTTCAAACATGAAAGCATATATACTTACATGAAGCAAACATTTTGCCAGTTTTCATGTTTTTGAAAAGCAGACCACAGATCAATGACCTTCACATTCATCTCATCACACACCTCCAAACATGCTTCTGCATAAATTCTGCATGCTTCATTTGTCCTCATTGGCAGCCCCTGTGGATCTCTGATTTCATATCCAACAAATAATGTAAATTAACTTCTCTGATACATAGTTAAACTGTATTTATTTATCTTTAAGTGAAGTTATAATACATAACCAATTTCATTACCTGTTGTTTGGGATTTGTGCTTCATTGATGGGAGGAGTAGTGAGAAATATAGTGCGGGTTTTCTCAGAAAGGTGCTGTGAATTATTAGGATTTGTATCAAACTTATCAAGAATCAACATAAGAGAAAACCAAGAATTCATGAAGGATGAAGATGAAAGATTTATCAGACACAGAATGTTTACCTTCATATGAATAGCAATCTTTCTCATATTTTCCTTGTATTCATCTAGAGGTACATGAGGACCAATGCCATATGGGTTTGCTATAGTAGAATCATTGCCACCAAAGTACACAATCACTAATGATGGTTGCTCTATGGCATCCTTTGGTAAATAATCAATAATAATACCACTATGTAAGGATCATAGTAACCAAATTTAGAGCTAATCAATCACATATCTTAGTCATTCTAACTTCTCAAAATTTATAATCTAAACTTTTTCAAATATAATATATTAAATTATAATATTTTGGATAATTTAAATAATTGTATAATAAAAGGTCCATTTATATAAAAAATATTATTATTATTATTAAATTATTATAAAAATTATTAAAATAATAATCATAATTTGAATTATTTAAAAATAATAATTATTAATTATTAAAATAAGATTAGTTAATTAATTATTGATTATTATTGTTAAAAAAATAAGATTTCTTATTTCTTTAAGAGTAAACTTAAAAAAAACACAGTAATAACCTCTTTCATTAAATAAAAAAAAATGAATTTAGGGATATAAATAGGAGAGAGATAAGGTAGGTGAAAAAGTTAAGAAGAAAGGGAGAGAGAAAGAAAGTGGGAGAGGGAAAGAGAAAGAGAAAGAGAAAGGGATTGAGAAAAAAAATATAAGTAGCATTATTATGTAATTATTAAGGTATTATAATTTTATTTATTTTTTAACCTTATTTTATCTTATTATATTTATTTTATTTTGAGCTAAACATTTATCTAATTTATATTTATTTATTTATATCTAATAGTAGTTGAAAAGAAAAAGAATGAATAAGTATTAAAAAAAATAATAAGAAATATAAAATAAAAAAAATCATCTTAATCTATTTAGAAGTCTAATATACAATATTTTATTTTATTTCGAAGATTGATGAAAATTTCGTTAAGTTATAAAATGGTGTTATTTTAATTATCTTTCACTAGTTATTTTTTATATTTATTTATTTATCTTTAATTACATATTCATGATATATTTATATATTTATTTATCTTTAATTACATTTTGATTTTATTTTATTTATTTTTCGGTTATACATTAATTTCTTTTATATTTATTTATTTATTTCTAGTTATGTACTTTTTTTATATTTATTTATTTATCTTCAGTTATATACTTTATTTATCTTTACTGATCCTTTCATATTTATTTATTTATCTCAAGTTACATATTGATCCTTTTTCATATTTGTTTAATTATTTTAAAATTTCTTAAAGAATAATATTTATTTATAAAAATTTAATGATATTAGAGATAAAGGTTGAACTTAAAAATTGAAATGAATAAATATCACTTAAAAATAATTAATTTTGTACTTATTTATATTAACTAGCCACTATAAAATTAATTCAAATTTTTATAATATAAAATAAATAAAATATAATAATAAAGTTGAAAAGTTAATTTTATTTATTATTTTACATGATATTCATTATCAGTTCCTTATTTTATCACTTGTATATTTTATAACTAAAAATATCAACTTAAATAGATGGAGACATCAAATTAAAAGATAAATATAAATATTAAATCAAATACTTAAAAAAATGTTTGTCAATTTTAATAATTATTTTTTAGATAAATATAATATAAATTTGTAAAATTCATATATATATATATATATAAATTTATCTAGTATCTTATTTTTTTAGATTTAAAATAAAATAATTATTTTTTAAAAATATAATTAAATTATCAATATAATAAAAAGAACGTCTCAGAAAGGTTTTTTCTTGACATTATTAACCAACCCACATGTTTTTATTCCTCACCTAAAATGTATATGGGAAGTTCACATTTAGCAAGGCAGAAGAATAAAATTGAGCCGAAAGGAGAAAATTTAATTGAACACAAAAATTTAGCACTGGAATGATGAATATATAATATACCTTGGGAAAAAGTATATCCAAAACCTCCAAAGCACGCCTTGAGTTCCAACCAGCATATCCTCGCACAACAATGTCAGCCTATGCCATGTTGTAGGGTTTAGGGTTTACATCTTCATATAAACAATTTCTATATTCTGTATTTTTCTTAAAACAATTGAATACTATGTATGATTGTGACTGATGCAGGGCACCACTTACCAAAAAAAACTTATAATTATCACATCTTTAATTATCAGGCCTTATCTTAATATTATTTCCACTTGCAAGCAAGTTTTATTAAGTTTAATATTTTTACATCATACGCTTGGTATCATTCATAAATGGGTTCTCTTAACCTCAACAATCCTTTTTAAATTAAGAAATGAAAAATTATATTTTCCATCATTTTGCGTGCAGTCTTGTTCTTCTATATGTACCCTGCACACTTGTTCTTGTAGATACAGGGTAAAGGAGTATGTTCGTCAATCTTGTTTCATTAAGTATCTTATTAATTATTGAATTGTCCTAGAGAAATCGTCCAAGACTTTCGTTACCATCTAAGTAACAATAATTCAATTTTTTTGTTGTCATTATTCAATAAAATAAATGTAATGACAAGATCAAATATTTTGAGATTAGAGATTAATTTAAAAGTAAAACTTTTAATGATGATTTTTAAAATGATTCCCAGCCAAAACTTAAGTAAAGTGACTATTAATATACCCAAAATATGTATTTCTTCACAACTTCTTTGAAGAGAAGGAGATGGTGGAGGAATTAAACACAAAAGTTGTATCTATGATGAAAGGAAAGAATGGAAGATATGATAACATATGAATAAAATTGATCAAAGTCAATATCTTTCATCCTCTTTCACTATTTATGATAGGAATAAAATATGAAACCATATAATTTATTTGAAGATGAAGAGAAAAGACATACCTTACGAGCATACAAGTGAGAAAGAGTAGCTCCCCAACCTTCGTAATAGCCATATTGAACAATGGAGGATCCAAACAACACAACTTTTGGTCTCGATGCCCCTAACATTTTTTCTTTCTTTCTCTCACTCAACCGCAAAACACACACCAATGGAATAAAGCTGAGATTTTATGGATATAGTATTTCCAGCATGTTTTCAGTGTTATTGAATGTCAAAATATTCTTATAAAAACCAAAATCTTTGTTTATTTGTCGTTTGTTTGAACTCCCATGTCATTTTATTAGTTTAATATTTCAACAGCATCTCTCTGTCAATGGTACCCAACTCATATTTAGATACGATTTCACTTAACCTGTATCATATTTTATATCATATGATTTTTAAAAGGGAGTAGGTACAATAATTTCTTTCTTTTTTTTTTACAAAAAAAATAATTATACATGGAGTAAAAAAACAAAACATGGAACAGGTGAAACATTATATTTCAGCAGTTTTTTTTTTTAACCTGTTGTGTGTGAGATAATACTTTAAATTAACTTTAAAATAAAAAAAAGGTTGCTTTCTTGAATTTGAAAATATGTAATTTATGATTATTTTTAAACTTCCTTTTTTTCTTTTTTTCAAAAATGATTTTTATTCCATGTAAATAAAAGAGATTATATTAAAATAAATTTTCAACAAACTTATTTAACTAAAAATTGCTCTTGGTTATAATATATTATAAAGTAACTAATCACATATATAATTAAATAGTAAAATAATCAAAGTTTTTTACTTATTTCAAACCGGCTTTCAAACAATTTAATCTATTAACGCGTGAAAGTAATACTCTATCGTAAATCACTTTACATAATTAATTGACCTAGTTTAATGCCCTATATTCATTTACCTAACTACCTAAAATTTAATCTATCATGACGTGAAAGCAATACTTTATCGTAAATCACTTTACACAGATTAATTGACTTAGTTTAAAGCCCTAGATTAATTTACCTAACTACCTAAGCCTCCTATGAAAAAAAAAAACTGTAAAGAAGAGAAAGAAAACGAGAGAAGAAGGAAAAAAAAAAATCGAGGCCCTTTGATTAATATTATCAAAGTTTTGGATGTGTAACTTTTCATACCAAAAAAGAGGAAATTTTTCTAAAATTAATAAAAAAAAAATTGTAAGAAAGGTCAATCTTTATCTTTTTTTTCTTAGGGTTTAATAAGCATACAATTCTTAATCAAAGTTTATTTTATTCTAATAAAAGTTTTCTTACAAAATTTCAAATATCAGTGAAGCAATTCAGACACATTTTTAAACAATTTATCATGTTATTTTATATTCTTCTAATGCGTTGTATGAATAAACATGGTAAATAATGATTAATGAATATTTTGAGCTTGGATGAACCTGATGCTCCTAACAAAATTTTACTTTTTATTTATTTAATAGTTATTTAAAAACAATTAAATATAATTTACTTTTTATGAATTAAATAAAGTTTCATTTAAAAAAAAACATTTTTCTTATTATATTTTTTTCCAATAATAATGATAATAATATCATTTTTTTATTTTTTTAATGACATTTTACCATAAGGTATTTAACTCGTTGTTTAATAAAAAATATTTATATTTTACAAGTAATTGTATTATAGTTAATCTTCGTGAATTTCTGAAATATTAACAATGTTATCTCATAGAAAATATTTCCTAAAATGTTACCAATGCTGCATAACAAGAAAAACGATAAAATAAATAAATAAATAAACTATCTTATGAAAAAACTGTCGTCTAAACATTCTAAACTACCTCAATAAAATCAATTTTATAAAGTGATTCTTTTATCTCTTTATTTCTTTTATTTTTCTCTTTTTTTATTCATTCCTAATTTATTATTATTTTTTCATTCATTCATTCATTATTTTTTTTTCTTTTTTTTTCTTATAATCTTTTGTTATGCTTTTTCCCTCTCATTTATTCTTCTAATTAAAAATACTATATTAAAATTTAATAAAATTATGTTAGTTAGATATTATTTGATATTGTTAAGATATTGTTAACCACAATATCAAACAATATCTTCTATTTATTCTGTTATTTTAAGTTACTCTTTTAATTGTATCTCTATGTTATAAATAGACTACCCTATGTGTGATTTATATACAAGGGAGATTAATCTCAAACGTTATTTCTTATATATTCAAGATATCTAGAGTTTAAGGTTATTTTGAAATTTTTTTTTCGCCTTTGACCATTGTTGGAGCCGCCACCACCGCCGCTATCGCTGTCGGTTAAACTAATCTTCGACATCAGAAAAAAGTTATTTTTGTTATTGGATATTATTGGGTAGTGTGAAAGTGCATGTCTAGGAAGGTTCTGACAAGGAAATACTTGGTATTTAAGCGTGTCCATTAGTGACCCACCTCTCTTTCCTGGAAACTTACCTGGTGTACTGGTTCACGCCGCTGTCACTATCGCCTCCGCCTTTATGACTTCTTTCACTCCTTTTAGTACTTCCAATTTTGTCAATACTGCGTCTGGTCCTTCCATCTACACTAACTATGTTAATGTGCACTTATCCATTGACAAGTTAACTGACCCTAATTATGTCACATGGTCATCAAACGTCAGATTATGGCTTAAGAGTCAGAAGTATCTTGATCATCTTGCCCCGAAAACACCTACTCTCACTCTTGGTGAGAAAGACCGTTGGGACACCATTGATGCTCAATTATGTGTGGTTCTCAAGGGTACTCTTGATCCTTTGTTAAACATGTGCCAAAATCTAGGAACATGCCAAGTTATTATACACCAATGATACTCAACGTCTCTACGATGTCTGTTCTAAATTTGTAGATGTTATTGCCTCTAAACATCAAGATTCTATGACTGATTATATGAGCAAAATTCATGCTCTTTTTCATGAGTTCAATGAGTTATTGCCTCCTTCCCCCGACCCTACCACCGAGATAACACAACGATCAAAGTTCTTCATGCTAGGGGCATTACACGGACTTACTGATCAATATTCACATATTCATGATCAGATTTTGGGTTCTCCGATTGTCCCCATCTTGACATCGACCTGCTCCACTCTTCTGCATTGGTATCTCATCGTGATGACCAAACTCGCCCTCGTAAACAGGGAAAAGGGCGTCCTAAGTGTGAACATTGTGACAAACTAGGTCATAAGATTGACAAGTGTTATGCATTACATGGTCGTCCTCCTCGATCTGCTGCAGTTGCTCAGACTGATCTTTCCCCACCTTTATCTGCTGAGGATCCTTCTTCTTCTATTTCATCAGACACACCTGCTATGTTCAACAAATTTCTCAAATGGTATAAGGATCAACAGTCTTCTAGTTCCACTGTGTCTGTTGCACACACATGTACATCTTTTGCTGGTCTGACACAATCTTCTTCTGGTCCTTGAGTTTTTGATTCAGGAGCCACTGATCATATTACTAGTAACAAATCTTTGTTCTCCTCTTTATCCTCTCCTAATCATTTACGTTCTGTTACACTGACTGATGACTCTAGAGTATCATCTCATGGTGTTGGAACTGTTAAACTTTTCCCTTCTTTAACCATTAATAATGTTCTTTATGTCCCTGAGTCTCCTTTTAACCTATTATCCATCAGTCGTCTAACTCGTTCTCTTGATTGTATTGTTTCTTTTACCAACAATTCTGTGTGTTTATAGGATCGGAGTTCGAAACAGGTGATTGACACAGGATGTGAGTCTCATGGTCTTTATCATCTTCGTCCCTTTACACATGTTGGTGTAGTTATAGAGTCTCCCTCTCTTCTCCATGCTCAGTTAGGTCATCCAAGTCTTGCCAAGTTACAACAACTTGTCCCTGCCTTATCTAAGTTGTTTAGTTTGACATGTGAGTCGTGTCAATTAGGCAAGCATAGTCATACTTCCTTTCCTCGTAGTGTCACACATGGTGCTTCGTCCCCTTTTGCCGTGGTTCACTCTGACATTTGGGGATCTAGCCGCGTTAAGTCTACTTTAGGTTTTCAATACTTTGTTACTTTCATTGATGATTATTCCAGATGCACTTGGTTATTTTTGATGAAAAATCGTTCTGAATTATTTCATATCTTTTAATTTTTTTTCAATAAAATTCAAACTCAGTTCGATGTTTCTTTTAGAGTTTGTGCAGTGATAATGGTCGTGAATATCTTTCTCATTCTTTTAAACAATTCATGGCTTCTCATGGTATTTTGCATCAAACTTCTTGTGCTTATACACCTCAACAAAATGGTGTAGTTGAACATAAAAATAGACATCTTATTGAAACAACTCGCACTCTTTTAATTCATGGAGATGTTCCTCAACATTTTTGGGGTGATGCTCTTCTTACTGCATGTTATCTCGTTAATCGCATGTCATCTTCGGTTTTATATAATAAAATACCCCATTCCATTTTATTCCCTCATGAACCACATCATCCCTTACTTCTAAGAGTTTTCGGGTCTACATGTTTTGTTCATAATTTCAGTTCTGGTTTTGACAAGCTTTCTCCTAGATCACATAAATGTGTTTTCTTAGGGTTTACAAGATCACAAAAATGATACAAATGTTTTTCTCCTTCTCTTAACTGTTATTTTGTGTCTGTAGATGTCACCTTTGATGAGTTCTCTTTTTATTTTAAAAGTCAATCTTCACCTCTATCTCCATCTAATCTTGTCAACATTCCTAGTACATTTAATGTTCCTGTTGTTTGTGACCCTCTAACTGTGTCTTCTTCACCATTAGTTTCTGCTCTGCAGTCAGCTTCTTCTTCACTGCCTCTTCAGGTTTATAGTTGCCGAAACCAATCACAACCACCACCATGTGACTCCACTCAAGTGCCAACTACTCTGTCTCCTCCGGATGTGACATCTGAGTCTGACCTTCCCATTGCCCTCCGAAAAGGTATCCGTTCTACACGTAATCCCTATCTCCATTATATTGGTTTGAGTTATCATCGACTGTCATTACCTTTTTATACATGTCTTTCCTTTCTTTCTTCTGTGACCATTCCAAAAATTGTCTGTGAAGCTTTAGCCCATCCTGGTTGGCGTCAGACCATGTTAGATGAACTAAGTGCTCTTCATAATAGTGGAACTTGGGAATTTGTCTCGTTACTGTCTGAGAAATCTGTTGTTGGTTGTAGGTGGGTGTTTGCTATCAAAGTTGGACCTGATGGTACTATTGATCGCCTCAAAGCTTGTCTTGTGGCCAAAGGTTATACTCAAATTTTTGGGTTGAATTATGGAGATACCTTTTCCCCCATGGAAAAGATGACTTCTATTCGTTTGCTTATCGCCATGGCCGCTCTTCAACAATGGTCTCTTTATCAACTAGATGTTAAAAATGCTTTCCTCAATGGTGATTTGCAAGAAGAAATCTATATGGAGCAACCTCTTGGGTTTGTTGCTCAAGGGGAGTCTTTTGGGATGATATGTCGTCTTTGCAAATCCCTATATGGCCTAAAACAGTCTCATAGGGTCTGGTTTGGACAGTTTAGCAAGGTTGTTCAACAATTTGGTATGACTCGGTGTGAAACAGATCACTCTATCTTTTATCGACACTCAAGTGCTGGATGTGTTTACTTGATAGTATATGGTGATGACATCGTTCTTACAGGTAGTGATAAACATGACATCTCTCAGTTGAAACAACATCTTTGTCACCATTTTCAGACCAAAGATCTTGACAAACTTAGATATTTCTTGGGTATTGAGGTGACATAGTCCAATGATGGTATTGATATATCTCAGAGGAAGTATGCCATGGATATTTTGGAGGAAATTGGGTTGATGAGTTCAAAGTCTATTGATACACCCATGGATCCCAATACTAAACTTCTACCAAATCAGGAGGAGCTTATACCTAATCCTGAGTAGTATAGAAGATTGGTTGGAAAATTGAATTATCTTACAGTTACTCGTCCTGACATTTCCTTTGCAGTCAGTGTGGTAAGCCAATTTCTTAATTCCCCATGTAAAGATCATTGGAATGCAGTCATTCATATCTTAAAGTATATTAAAGGATCTCCTAGAAAAAGATTGTTATATGATTCTAATAACCATACAAGGTTTGATTGCTACTCAGATGCTGATTGGGCAGGATCTCATTCGGATAGAAGATCTACATCTGGATATTGTGTCTCCATTGGTGGTAACTTAGTCTTATGGAAAAGTAAGAAACAGAGTGTTGTGGCAAGATCTAGTGCATAAGTAGAATATAGAGTTATGGCCTCAACTGTTTGTGAACTTGTTTGACTCAAACAATTGCTTAGAGAGTTACAATTTGGAGATGTCACTCAAATGTCACTTGTGTGTAACAATCAGGCTGCTCTTCATATTAGTTCTAATCCTGTCTTTCATGAGAGGACCAAACACATTGAGATTGACTGTCATTTCATTCGAGAAAAAATTATGTCTAAAGACATCAAGACTGAGTTTGTTAACTCAAGTGATCAGTTAGCAGATATTTTTACTAAATCTTTACGGGGTCCTAAAATTGATTATATTTGTAACAAGCTTGACACATACGATTTGTATATTCCAGCTTGAAGGGGAGTGTTATATATTGTTTAGATATTATTTGATATTGTTAAGATATTGTTAACCACAATATCAAACAATATATTCTGTTTATTATGTTATTTTCAGTTACTCTTTTAGTTGTATCTCTCTATTATAAATAGACTACCTTATGTGTGATTTATATACAAGGGAGATTAATCTCAAACTCTATTTCTTCTATATTCAACAATGTTAAAGTATTTTTTTTAAAACTAAAAAAATATCAATTAATTATTTAAAATTGTAATGATAGTAATTAATTTTATTTATGATGACAACAATTAAAAAATATCAAATATTTATGAGTTGAATTAATTTTTTATTTAGTAATTTAATCTAGTCATTATACTTATTAATCATATAAGAAATTTTAAAATAATTATTTACTAAAAAAAAACTTAAAAATAAATATTTTATTACTCTTAATGTTGATTTTAAAAAAATTAACACAATTTTAACCAATTTCAATACAATATTTCTAATTAGAAGAATAATACAAAAGAACAAAGACACTAAGAGACAATAGAGAAAAGAAGAGGGAACGAAGAGAGAGAAAAAAAGAATGAAGGAGGAGTAAAAAAAATAATTAGTTTATGTTAAAGAATTTAATCTCCATAATTCAATTATATATATAAACAATAAATTGATGTTATTAAATGAATAAATTGATAAAGATAGTATTTGAGTAATTTTTTCTTTTGAAATGTTTTATTTATGATATTGAGTTTTCAAGGAATTTGTAATTTTTGAGAACTAAAAAAAAATAAAATCATAAAATGGTTAGTTACAAATGTGTTTGTAAATCTTTTAGATAATTAAGACTAGAAAATGATTTTGTATGAAATTTCATTCTGAATTTCCAAGAAATTGTAATTATGTGAGAACGTTAAAAAAAATGGAAAATAGTTAATTTTATATATTATTTTGTAAATCTTTTAGATAATTAAGACTTATAAAATGATTTTAATGATCATCCGAGGAGTTTTGTTAGCCTCCATCAATCCATGTATAATGGTTAGAGAAAAAACCATAAAATGGTGAAAAGAACATAACTAAGCAATTGACTTAATCAAAGTGAAATAATAGTTTCCATTTCATCCGAATCACATGGAGAAAAACCAGAGACAAATGATGCTTCAGGATTCTAAGAATTGGGGCATGTCTATAATTTTCAAAGACAGACAACTCTACTTCCATTGCACGGTTCCATAGAAGGTCCTGTTGGAAATATTTATAGTGGTGTTTCCATCTGGGCCAATTGGATCATAAGGTGAATCTTCTCCATATTCAGTTGGCATAGAGCTGCTCTGCAGACTAGGTTCCCAGTCGGCTTCTTTGATGACCTTCAATATCTCTTTTGCCACTATTTTGCTCCCCTCAGCAGTAAGATGAATTCCATCCCTATCAAACACAACTCAATAAGATGAAGGATAGGAAGATTTGAACCTTTCTCAAATTAAGAAGCATGTCAGTATCTATGAATGCATACTTACGTGAAGCAGACATCTCTCCAGTCATCCCTTTTCTGGAGTGCAGACCACAGATCAATGGCTTTGATATTCATTTCACGGCATAGCTCCAAACATGCTTCTGAATATATTCGACAAGATTCGTTTGTCCTTAAGCGCTGTCCCACTAGCTCACTGGTTTAAAGTCCAGAATTTTGCTCATCAGAATCTAATATAAATATAAATTCCAAACAAAGAAAAAAATAAAGGAAATAAGAATGTAGTCATGATATAATCGTAGTCCTGACATAAGCGAAGAAATCACCAGCATGTAGTTCTCTGCCTTTCATCTTTGTGAATTTATAAAAATGAAATAGCATTTAAATTGCAGTCAAAACCTGTCTCCATATATTTGAGCCTCATTGACAGAAGGAGCACTGAGAAATATAATGCGAGTCATGTTTGAAAGGCTCTGGCAATCATAAGGATTGGGGTCAAACATGGTAGTAATAACTATAAAAGATAAAAAAGATGGAGATTCTGTAAACAGTGCATGTGAATTACTAGAAGGATGAAGTGTTTCATTCATATAATAATAAGAAATAAGAAATGTGTTATTTTACCTTCAGATGGGTACCGATCTTTCTCATATTTTCAATGTATTCTTGGAGAGGTACATGTTGACCAAGGCCACTTGGATGTGGAAGAAGAGAATCATTACCGCCAAAGTACACAATAATCAACGATGGTTGCTCAGTGGCATTCTAAGTTAAAAAAGATGACAGATCAAGAGGTGATTCCTTGTTAGTCTGTCCGAGCTCAGAGTAATCATGATATGCAAACCAGAACCTTAAAAAAAAAACTATAAATTTTCATAATTTAGCAGTTCATTTAAGTACATGGCATATTGTAAAATTCAGAATAATGATTCTAATATGTCCAAGTTCATTTCGAAGAAAACTTGAGGATATCATGTGCCTAAATTCTTCACATCATTCCGTATCATACCTAGTCACTTTCTAACTCCTTTTCCAAGGTGCCATTTTTTTTCAATGAACACAAATAGAATAAACATTTCCTTAACATTCACGACGAAGGGACAAAAGATTCAAGTTGAAATGAAGAAAGAGAAGGAAATTGGGTTTGTGTTGGGGGTAACACTAAGATTTTTAGTACCTTTGGAAAAATTTCATCCAGAACTTTCACAGCACGCCTTGAATTCCAACCAGAGTATCCTCGCAGAACTATATCCGCCTATATCATATTAAGGTGTAAAGTTAAACTCATTGACCATCTAATGAGTACCCCACAAAAGCATATACAATACGAGTAATTATTTCATTCAAGTACTGGATGAAATTTAAATAACTTGAGTCATTTAATATGCTGTTATCTCATATTAGCCTATTTGATACATTCTTTTTTATCTGTAGTTAGATATTATTCTGTTTACCAGGACCTTGTACTGAAACAATACTGGATTGGTAGGTGGTGGGTCAAGTAGGACCATCACTCCCACAAAATTTCCTCCATATGGGGGTAGGTTTATCTTTTCATTTTAAGATTTCTTGACTTTAAAAGAAGCTGCATTATGTAGCTTATTTTCACATCATCCAATCATTATAGGTAAATGACATTTTTCTCTGCCCAAATAAAAATCGATCACACTGCTTGTAATCTTGGTCTCAAAATGAAACACAACCCCTTTATGTTTATACACTGGAAATGCCAACCAAAATACGCAATTCCCAGCACAGTCTCATCCAGTAGCCAGAAGTTATGAAACACCTCATCCATCCTCCTCCACCATAACAGAACACAGCAAATTTCATATGTCTTATCCATGCTTAAGAACCGTACTCAAAACAAAGCAATTCACGGATCTAGATTCTCTGCATCCACTTTTCAACTCATTCAATTATTCAGAACTATCACAGAAAGATCGGGGTCAACTAACTAAAAAAATACACATTTGAAATTTCAGCAATCTAATCTTCATCCAACTATTATAAATAAATATATTAAGTGCGTGAAAATGTGACAGCACTGAATCCATTTGCTCAATTCAACACTCTTCTGATCAAATAAAGATTGAAGCAAGAACCTAAACACAATACTCACACGCTCACTTCAAACGGCTCAAAAGTGTCTGCTTGGATATCAGGTAATTTCTAAACCTTATATTCTGAACTATAAATGTAAGTCCATCCCTTTCCAATGCACAAACAAGAGGTCACCGTGAGTTCAGTTAGATGAATTGTAGTTCTAAATATAAATCCAAACACACTCTAAATCATGTCACAAACAATTGATCAAAACCAACTCTATTTACTTATCTCAATTACTTATTACATCATTATACTCACGGCTTTTGAGATATTGTAATTTTGAGTAATAAGATATCAACTTTTTAATCTTCAAAGACATTTTATAAACTAAAACTTTGATTCTTAGAGGAATTTCTCTACCATCTTTGTTAAAAATTCACAATCACACATGACAAGTCTAAAGTCACAGTCTTTCAGTTTCACTCCTTTAAAGAAACCACTATAAGAAAAGGTACACAAACACATACCTTACGAGCATACAAGTCAGAAAGAATAGATCCCCAACCAAGGTGGGAATAGCTGAATTGAACAATGGAAGAACCAAACAATACAAACTGAGGTCTCACTGGTCCCACCATCTCTTCTTTTTTTCTCCTTCTTGGAGAAAATTGGAACAGATCTGAATGTAGTGATGTTTTTGTTCAGTCAAAGACTTCACTGCTGCCTCCTTTTGTAATAGGCAGGACAAGGATTCAACTCTCAGCCCTTGGTTCTTATACAATTATAACTAGATGACCTAGTTTTATTTATTAATATTCAATACAAAGAACCATTCTGTCTTTCTTTCATTTCAATTTCATTCTATTTATTTGTACATATTGTTTTTCTTTAAGAAAATTTATATTTATCTATTATTTTTAAATTTTAACATAACATTATTTTCTCTCAATTATATCTTAGTTTTTATCTAATATTTAATTAATATACACTATTATTATGAAGTTGAAAATAAAATAACCAATATGTATTAGTTATAGAATAAAAATAAAAAATTTCATAGAATGTAGGATTTTTTTTGTTGATTCTATGTAACATTCTTAAAAGTACTAAAAAAATAGTATGTTTAAAGGATCAATTTTGATGATAAAAAATTAGTATGTTTAAAATCACTAAACTTTATTAAAGATTTATATCTTAACATTTCTCATCTAATACAATATCATATTATATAATAAACTATTATTATTAATTTCATTAATATATCTTTTATTTTTATTTTCCATTTTTAATATATCTTTCACTTATTTTTTTTATTATCACCATTATATATATATATATATATATATATATATATATATATATATATATGAAAAATACATATTTCTTATTTTGGAAAAGATACAAAAAAGGTATAAATAAAATACAAGGTAATAAACTTATATACTAATCTATGCTTGAAAATGAGGAAAATATTCTCCCTATAAATATTGTACATAATTGTGCATAAATAACGATTTTGGAAAAGATACAAAAGAAGTATAAATAGAATACAAAGTAATAAACCTATACACTAATCTATCCTTGAAAATGAGAAAAATATTCTCCCTATAAATATTGTACATAATTGTGCATAAATAATGAAATAAAAATTGATTATATTATCATTAAATCCTATCATAATTGAATTATTCTAATTGATAGTGCTGATCTCCAACACTCCCTCAATCTGGGTGGTAGATGTTTATCATACCCATATTTGATCTAATATTTTTATGTGTTCCTTGAAAGAGTCTTTGTCAGGATATCTGTTATTTGTCTGTATGATAGAATATGGTCAACACTTATAATACCATGATCAATTTTTTCTTTAATGAAGTGTCGGTCAATTTTCATATGTTTTGTCCTATCATGGTGGATTGAGTTCTTTACTATGCTTATAGCAGCATTGTTGTCACACATTATTCTCATAGTATAATTGATAAGAATTTTGATTTTATCTAACATTCTCTTAAGCCAAATTCCTTCACAGATACCTTAAGCCATAACTCTGAATTTAGCTTCTGCACTACTCCTTGCCACCACAGATTGCTTCTTGCTTCTCCAAGTCACCAAGTTTTCCCACACAAAGGAACAGTAGCCTGTAGTTGATTTCCTGTCAAAGGGACATCCTACCCAATCTAAGTCAGTATAGACTTCAATACTTATGTTTGATTCCTTCTTGAAGTAAATCCCTCGACCTAGTGTAACTTTGAGGTATTGGAGTATTCTGTTTGCCATGTTCATGTTGGCCTCAATTAGATTAGATATATAGCGATTAGTCTTTGATATCTATCTTTATCAGTTGGTGAACTTTCCTCTTCACCTCTCTTTTCCGGTTCTATGGGAGTATTGACTGCCTTGCACCCAAGCATGTCAGTTTCTTGAAGTAAGTCCAATATATATTTCTTTTGTGATACATAAATACCATCCTTCATCCGAGCAACTTCCATCCCTAAAAAGTATTTGAGCAAACCCAAGTTCTTAACTTCAAATTCCTTGGCTAAAAGTCTCTTCAAATGCTTGATTTGATCATAATCGTCTCCTGTGATAACGATATCATCAACATAAACACTAAACAAGGCTACCTTCCCTTCTACGAAGTTTTTGATAAATATCGTGTGATCTGATTGACATTGGTTGAATCCATCTTCTTTGACAACCCGAGTCAATATATCAAACCATGCTCTTAGAGATTGCTTAAGGTCATATAAAGATTTTCGGAGCCTACACACCATGTTTGAGGTTTTTGATGATTCAAGTCCTGGAGGAATTTGCATATAGACTTTTTCTTCTAGTTCACCATTTAGGAAGACATTCTTGATGTCTAGTTGATAAAGTGGTCAATCTAAATTTGTAGCTAAAGAGGACATAACTCGGATTGAATTGAGTTTGGCCATCGATCTTCATAGTCCACTCCATATGATTAGGTAAACCCTTTTGACACCAATCGGGCTCTGTACCAGTTTATACTACCATTTGCATTGTATTTGATGGAGAATATTTACTTGCATCTAATCGATTTCTTCCCTTTTGGTAGGGTTGGTGATTTCCCATGTGCCATTTTTAACCAAGACCTGGACTTCTTCTGTTACAGTTGTTGCCCATTCAAGTTGTTGGAGTGCCTCTTAAATATTTTTTGGGATATGTATATTGTCAAGAGCTGCCACAAACGACCTATACCCCTATGACAATTTTTCATAGGACATATAATTCCCAATGGGGTGTTGAATACAAGATCTCACCCCTTTTCTTAATGTAATAGGAATGTCAATGTCATCAATAGGTTCAGGACTAGAAACGATATTACCTAGGGAAAACTCATTTTCTGGAGCTTGGTTTGATTCATGACTTTGTCTTGGAGCTGTGCTAGACTCTACTTCCTTTCTTTCAGATGCAGTCTCGGCTAACTCTGCATTTACTACTGTAGTTTCCTCTGCTGCATGTGCAGTCTTGGCTGGTTCTGCATTTGGGGCAGAGTGAGCTAACTCAAATCCTAAAAGTTGAGATTTTGAAAGTTGAGATTTTGAAAGTTGAGATTCTTCCACTTCAATTGGATAAATCTCCTCCCCCTAAATGTCAACTTTAGGGTAATAAGACTGATTTTTAAAAAAGGTGACATCCATGGTGTGGTAAAATTTCATGGTTTGAGGTGAATAACATTTATACCCCTTTTGTTGGGGAGAATAGTCGAGGAAAATACATTTTATGGATTTTGGGTCAAATTTGCTGTGACAAGGATGAAGGTTATGGATAAATGCTGAACATCCAAATATTTTCAAGGGAATAGATGTAAGGATATGACTAGTAGGGTATGAGGTTTAGAGAGTAGAGTGAGGTGTGTTAAAGTTGAGGATTCGGGAAGACATTTTGTTTATGAGGTAGGTTGCAGAGAGGAAAACTTCTCCCCAAAATTGGTTGGGTACATTTGTAACCAACATGAGATATTTGGTCACTTCTAAGAGATGTCTATTCTTTCTCTCGATGACCCCATTTTGCTGAAGGGTATCTACACATGAACTCTGATGTATGATTTCATGTCTCTGAAGGTAGAACTTAATGCAAAGTGATAATACTTTTGGTCATTATCACTCCTAAGTACCTTAATTCTACTTTGAAATTGCGTTTCTACCATAGTATGAAAAAAAATTCAAATATTCTGTCAATTTCTCCTTCATCAGGAACACCCAAGTGACCCATGTGTGATCATCTATGAAGGTGACAAACCATCTTGATCCCGTGACATTGTTTACCTGTGATGGTTCCCATATATCGCTGTGAATTAGGGAGAAAGGTTGAGAGGGTTTATAGAGTTGAAGCAGGTATGAGCTGCGGGTATGTTTGAACAATTGACATATTTCACATTGAAACAAATCTTGATTTTTATTGAATAATGTGGGAAACACTCTTTCTTTAAATACATAAAATTTGGGTGGCCAAGCTGATAGTGCCATAACATCACATAATTTTTATTTTTAGGTACCACAACACAAGAGTTGACCTTAGTTTCCGCTTCTGACACTTCAATTTGAAGGCAGTAGAGTCTAACACATTCTTTAGCAATGTCAATCGTCTCCCTCGTCTCCAAAATCTAAAATTCACGTAGGTTAGGATTGAATTTAGTGACACACTTCAAATATTTTGTCAGTTTGCTAATAGACAGTAAATTACAGTCAAGTTTTGGCACATAAATGACTGACTTCAGGTTAATATTTTGTGAGATAATAACTGAACCTTTTTCCCATGACTTTAGAAAAAATCTCATCAGTTATCCGAACTATGTAATTATTATGACAAGAAATATAGTTTTTAAACACAGTTAAGTCTCCAATCATGTGATCTGAGGCTCCTAAATCAATGATTCATGACTCCTGTGCTAGTATTTAAAGTATGCAAGAAATTACTTTTTTGTGCTACTGCACTTATACTAATTGTTTGCTGGGGAATTTTATGTAGTTCTTCCATTTGCTCCTTGCTGAATGGAGATGAATTAGAATTTACCTGATGTGAACATGAGCTATGACAAGGGCTAAAGCAAGGGAATCACAAGAAGCTCTTCAACAAGTATTGTTGGTTGACCAAATTGTGTTTTGGATAAATCAATTAATGAGATTTAGTTTGGTTTTATTGCAAGTTGTAATAAGGGCCCAATTGGAAATTTAGTTATCAGTCTTTGGGAGGCCAAAAAGGTGTATAGTTGATTGACTTTTGGTTGCCACAATTTCAGTTACAATCAGTCATTAAATAGTTTTCAATTTCTAGGTTAATGGATCATTATTAATCTTTATTTATCTCCATTAAGTAGTTTTCAATTCATAGGTTAATGAATCATTATTAGCCTTTATTTTCCTTTATTGAATCTTTGTAATTCTGATGACAAAGCTTCTATATAGACGGAACCATTTTTATCAAAAATAACAAGTGAAATTTTATTCAGAATATTAGAGTTTATCTCTTTTATCTTAGTGAGAGTGATTCTCCTAAATTCTTAAGTGATTTAAGAACATTTGGATTGTATCAAAGGACTTTCACATCCTTTGTAAGTTGTCTTCCTTGGGAAAAGTGGTTATTTCCTTCCATCTTATTAATAAATTCCTAAATT